AGACGGTGATTTTATCGACTTTTCAAGCGGAGTTGGGAATTTGTTGTAAATAGGATTAAAATGAGTAATTGAGTAGATATTAATGGGTTTGCATAATGTTGACTAGTTATGGAGCGTTGGGCATCGATTTGAGTTGCTTGAATGGCTTGGGAGCCGGTTATGGAACTTCGGAGCGAGGTAAGTCTCCTTTCTAACCTTGTAAGAAGGAATTTACCCCATAGGTGCACTACAACAAATTTGATTATCAATGATGAATTATTTTGTCACCTATGATTCACTTTTCGTCACCAACGATTTTTTGTGACGAAATTTTTTTTGTCAATCTTTCGTCTCTAAAACACCGTCACTAATAACATATAAAGGCAACTTTGTGTTTCGTCGCCAAATAATGAAGTATTAAATACAAAATTCTTTTTCGTCCCCAAATACGTAATATTTATGACGAATTTATTTGTCATAAAAAGTACAAAAAACCGTACTTAATAGTATGATTTCTTCACAAAAAATTCCTTAATATCGACGAAACTGTCTTGTCTCTAAAAATTTAGTTTAATTAGTGACAACGTCAAATGTCTCTAAAGCTATGTGTGTTTCGTAGTTGAAAAACCGTAATTTTATCACTAAAAACTACCTTTTATCTACAAAAAAGTATTTCGTCCCTAAATATATAATTAGTGACAATTATAATTTTGTATTTAAAACTATCATCTCGTCACTAAAAAAAATATTTTTATCGACAAAACAAAGTTGTCACTATAAGTTATCATAATTAGTGACAATTACAATTGTCAAAAAATACAACGTTGATTCGTAGTCAATAAAAAGATGATTTTGGGACATAAATTATTTTTGTCACTAAATATAGTGAATTTATGATGAACTTAATTTGTTTCGTGACGAAAATGTGATATTCCTAAAAACGATACAAAAGTAAACTATTTTGTCACTAATAACAAATGTTTGATGACGTTTATATTCATATTTGTTTTAGATTGACGTTATACGAATTTGAAATAACATAATAAAACAATCAATGTAATAACAGAAAAATAAAAACAATCAAAGGTAATAACAAAAATATTCACCATTGATCTTAAAACTAATATTAANTCCCATTTCATCAATCACTTGTGGTAGGCGTACCACCCGCTCCCATTTCATCAATCACTTGTGGTAGGCGTACCACCCGCTCCCATTTCAATCCAACACATTATAACAAAATAATTCCGGCTAGGGGACAACAATGTAATAACTTCCCGGCAAGGGAACAACAATATAATAACTTCCTAGCAAGGGAACAAAATATCAAATCAAATGCCCCGGCAAGGGAGAGTCAGTTATAACCAATTTTATTCAACTTCTACTTGACACAGTTTATACCAATACTCAGTCATAACTAAGGTCCACGGAAATAAACTAAATCCTTGCTCAGTATCGAGAATCATCAATCAAGCTTGCATAGAATCCATTAAGAATACAAGAATTATCAATGTAAGACCCACGGTCATGCTCGACACCAACGTATAGATACTCGTCACCATGCCTATACGTCGTACTCGACACCAAAACAATCAGCAAATAAGACTCAACTCCTAATCCCTCAAGCTAGGGTTAAACCAAACACTTACCTCGTTGCTTTGAATTCAACTCAAGCCTCAATTATAGCTTTACCCCTCGATTCCACCACCAATCAGCTCGAATCTAGTCACAAGTTACTTAATTACATCAATAAACGCTAAATGAATCAATTTGAATGCATAAAAATGAATTTCCCAAAGTTTTTCCCAAAATTTCCAAAATTGCCCCCGGGCCCACGTGGTCAAAACCCGAGGTTCGAACCAAAACCCGGTTACCCATTCCCCCACGAACCCAAATATATGATTTGTTTTGAAATCGGACCTCAAATTGAGGTCCAAATACCCAATTTTAGAAAAACCTAGGTTCTACCCAAAACCCCCAATTTCACCCCTGAAAATCATTGATTTTAAGTTGAAAACATGTTAAATGATGTTAATGATTGAAAGAAATGAGTAAAAATTGACTTACAAATGATTTGGAAGAAGTTTTGTTCTTGGAAAATCGCCTAACGAGTTGTGTTTTGAAAGTAGGGTGAAAAATAGTTCAAAATTCGACTAAGTATAAAATATGCAGGTTGCAGGTATGGGATTTGCGAACTGGGGTTCGCAATTGTGAACCCCGACCTGCTGATGTGGTAATTGCAAAAAATAAGTTCNGATCTTAAAACTAATATTAAAACTATATTGAAATAAAAGCTCCTTAAATTAAAAGAAACATAATTAAAGTAAATATGTCCAACATAAAAGTCTAACTGAGAAATATTACTCGTAAATTAGGATTGAGAAGTGGAGGAATGCAGTGATACTTCACTTGCAATTAGTCTTGATCCAATAGTTACCTTTATATACATGTATAAAAGATAGAGAAAAAATTAAGACTTAAGTTAATACTTTATTGTATCATGGTATAAATAAAATATAACTGGTATAAACTACAACTTCTTGTTAGACATAAAGTTTAATTGGAGAAATAAATAATTAAATTGTGATACAAATAAATAAAAATGAGAAAAAATTAAATAGTGTGAAGTTTAGTGTACCCAAAGTTGATAATCTGGTGGAGCTCAATCTTCGCTGTATCATTAAAAAAACATTCGAACTTAGATGCTAAAAGAATTATAATTGAATTTATCATTTAAAGATGTAGTACTTCTAATCTTGATGGTGATGAGCCAATAAAATGTTTAATATTTCCTCTTGGCGTGCCCTTAGAGTACCCAACTCAGAAGTTAATGTTTGTATCTGTATCTGCTGATTTGCTACCTCAATTTCAGCTACATTCAAACGTTCTTGTAAACCATGTTGGGCAGTAGCAGCATCCTCTTTTGCCCTCCTAAGAGCGTCTTCTAATTTTGTTGTCCTTTTTTTTGTTGCTGTAGTTGTATTAGGCTTTGGACCATAGCCAAGGCCTTTAATATATCCCGACCTTGTACCAAGTACATTATCAACAATTTCATCAATTGTCATTGGATTCTCTTCAGAAACAGACCGAGCTCTCAAATCTCTCATTTTGTTCTACATAAAAATATTACATTAGTTAAATTAATTATAAGATAGAATGAATACATGTGACATGTTACTAAAATATTACTTACGTAGTTAGTCTCAGCCTCTGGAGATGACCATCCTTTTTCACTCGAGTAATGGGTGCTTTTGTAGAACTCAATCCTATTTGGCTCTACTCCTTCATGTTCCTTCACACCTACACAATATGAAAATAATATGAAATATTACTAAAATATCATCTTAGTTATGAATGTGTAGGGTGATTGAACCTCAACCACAGTGACATGATTAGATTACAGGTTCAACAAAAGGTAATGAATGTATGTGGACCAAAGCTTTTTACCTATACCAACTCTTGTCAAGGCAACCATTTTTGAGAGTTTTGTGAGACAGAACATTGCAGAGTCAGAAATTGATGTGACAAGCAACATTAGACAGCAAATAGAGAGTAGTTATGGCTTCCCAACTAACAGCAAGACATAATTTATATGCTGACTGCCCATTTATACAATAAACCCAGAGAAAGGAAACACATAAAGGTTTTATATCAGAAAGCTCAATATATTTTAAGAGCCGTAAAATACTACAACTAACAGTTGTTGTAGAATACATGACGCAGACATATAATTGATTTTCCTTGTTATTAAGGTCCTAGATGTGATACTAATATTTGATAATTAAAAGTTTTAACTAAAGCATGCTGACAAAGATTTAAAGAAAAGTAAAGTGATACGAAAGAAAAAGTTGCACAGAAACGTCCGCACCTCTCAATTACCAATTCACCATGACTTTGTTCACTATAAATTATATCTCAAACTTAGAAATAACTAAATAGGCTTCAATGTTTCACGGCAGACTCCCCTTGATCCTTGGGACCCTTTCTCATATTCCCGTGGTCCAAACATTGATCCAAAGTCGAATATGTAACTCCACCAAAGACCCTAAACACGCATCTAACTATCTAAGCTATTCTTAATACAAAAAGAGTTCAATCAAACATCCTAAATGCAGCCTCTCTAGTTCATTTCATATTGTTGACAACTTAAACCAGACAAAGAAGGAAAAAGAGCAGTAATTCAGATCTTTGTTGACTTTAATAGAAGCGCGACTTTCTTACATGGGCAACTGGAGGGCATGATATCTAGATGACTGTATAACATATACAAACAGATTAAAAATTCTTATTTATGAATAGGTTTGGTGTCTGGTTGTGAAAATATTTACACATATGAGGCAAGGTCTGTTTCAGAGAGTCAAGTATTACACATTAAGCAGGTTCTCTGTTTTTTATACAAATTATAAGTTTCTCCCATTTTAGCAATTCTCATCCCACATATCTGACTTTCTAATGTAGGCAGGGATCATAGAACTCAAGCAAAAAAAAAACAAATAGAAAGGAAGAGGAAGAACTGACGCAGAATGCTTTCCGAGTTCGAACAACTCAAACATAAATAAAATTACTGCTTTACATAGAAGATATGCCTTCCATATGAGAAGAGATCAGATATTAACTAAATCAGTGGATACATTAATCTTCAATATAAAAGTATAGCTGATGGAATGTCTGATGAGAATCAAGTTTTCTACTTCTTTTTTCTTAGAAAAGGTAAGTTTTATTGAGTATCAGCACTAACGTTGGGGCTGCAAATTAGGAAATGAGATCTAACAAGATTTCAGCATCATTTACAAATTCCAGTTTACACCAAAATATAATAAGAGCTTAACAGTCAAGTTCTAGTAATTTACTACTTAAGAGCATGAAATGTCTAATATTTAACCAAGTTATATGTCTAGTTTTAAGTGCTAAGTTATGTTATTAAAACACTCATAAACTGTATTAACATGGAAACAGGTGGTTAAAGAAGTGATTTATCCCAGTGCAAATATTGAGTTCATAGCCAACACGACAGATGATCCTCACAAGAGGAAACCAGATATCAGCAAAGCAAAAGAAGCTAACCGGTTCACGAAATGCCATATAAGAAAACTAGAAATCCAACAACGATTCACAAACAAAGCCTCGACAGCAATAAATAGGCCAAACAAGCTCTAGAATGTAGCCATATCATCCATTAATGAATGTTGCAGCTACAAAGTAGAGAAAAACATGTTACTGAAAATATCTTATGTACATTTTGTTTGTTCGTATACTTAATTACTTAAATTACCTTTTTCTAAGAGAAATCGTGAATGTTGTTTGCCAGAAAAAGATATAACGAGACAAATATGAATAGAAATTACCTTATGCTCTGGATTCGCCCACATGTCACAGAGCCTGTTCCAATTTTTCGGTGTCAACTCTGGCACTTCAATTTTACGAGCCTCTTCCTCGGAGCTTGCACTTTCAAATAGCTTTTTTAATTTGTAGCGCCATTTTCGGCTTCTATTTTTCAGAATATCCTCACAGCTATCTTTGGTGTAATGCTCGTCCAAGTTAATTTCAAACTTCTCCTGCAAAATGAGAAGTTTTGAAGACACTCACAAAACAATCAAAATTTCCTTTGCTGGTAAAAGATTAAAATCTAACTTATTTAAAATGTAATAAAATTTACCAAAATATAGAATCCTTACATGGCATCTAATTAATGTTGCATCCTTATCCTCTCTTGTGAGTTCCTTCCACTTGTTTGGAAGCGTAAGAAAGTTGCGAGCAATAATTCCTAACCCATTTGATAGCTTTGCTGATGGAATTGCCTTAACTGGCCTTCCTTTACCAACTGGGATGTCTATAACCATCTTTCTCCCTATAGACTTCTTCATTTTCTCAAGACCTTTTCTCATTGTCCTTCCACGAACTTTCCTGATTCTAGATGAATCATCTGATTTTAAAAAGTAAAAATCAGTTCAAAATACTTGCTAAAATTCTTAAATGGTAACCATGTATATATATTAGTAATTAATTGCTATGCTACAAATGAAAACTCTACTGTTTCAAGTTTAACATTAACGAAAGTTTGAAATGTTAATATATTTGGTTCCAACTTAAACACAAAAGAATCCTAGATGCTGGAATATAAAGATTGCTATTTCTTTCCAGTCGAGGAAAGTAAGAATTTACTGAAACTTCTTATTGGGCGACAATCAGAAACTTTATTTACATCCCCTCTTTTAAACACAATCCATTTGTTTTATAAAGATAAACTCAAGAATTATATTGCAATAGGTGTGAAGTTCTTGGCTACCCTTAGTATTAAAACCAATAAGAAAGAATGGGTGCAATGTATTTTGTCAGATAATGACTTCCACAGAAATGAAAATCCCCAATATACCTTCGAATTGCAATGAAATTGACCCGACCATAAGAAATTACTTCAATTTTACAGCAAAGGTTTCAATAAAAATAGTACTACCAAAAGTCTGAATTAGAAAGTGCAGGATATACTTGCTGCATATAGAAAAACAATATGGAATACACAGAAAAAGCCAAAAAAAAAGGATCCATAAGAATAAACAACAAAAAAATAGTACACTGACAACAATGAGCAATAAGCATCAGAAAAAAGGAGAACAAACAATAATTAATAGATGCACTCCTAGTCAATATAATAAAAGGTACGTATTACCTGTATTAGGAGTAGGATTATTACTATTTGATGGATCAGATGATCGGCTTGCTCGAGTAGAAGCACCTGTAATTGTGGTTTGTCTAGAGGCACGTCCGCCTGGTGCCATTGATTTGTAGAATTCTACCAAAAATACTATATAATTTTAGTATATTCATTAGATGTAAAATCTATTAGTTTAACAAACCAAATAGTTAGAAATAACTAAAGAAAAATTCAAAAAGAACATAAATCATCAATCTGGAAAGCCTGATGCACATCATTTCCTAATAAGAGTTTACTGTCTTCTTCTCCTAAAATTTATTGAACTATTGAAGCATCACTAGCCGAGTTAAGTAATTAGTATAACATACCAAAGATCTATTTATGCAGAATTTTTTCTCATTTGAAGGCACATAAACTATGTTTTCAAAAACTTATACCGTATAAATGGAAGTTTTTCAACCGTGAAAGTTGAAAGAAAAATCCAGCAACTTTTCACAGAGATAATCAAGAAAAGAGTGTGTGCAATGGTAAGCAATATGGACAACATTACAACAGATTATCTTGGAATGCTTTTGAAAGCTAATCATGATACTGCTGGAAGAGAGAAGATCATATTTGAAGAAATAATTGATGAATACTGAACAAAAAACAACTCAGACATTGCTCTCATGGACTATTTTTCTTCTAGCACTGCACACTGACTGGCAAGACAAAGCAAGAGAAGAGGCACTAGACTTACTTGGGCAGCGATATCAAAATTCTTAAAGACATATCAAAACTAAAAATAATATGGGAACTATCAACAACTCCTTTATTTTTCCATTATATTAAATTTTTTCAAAAATTTATACCAAAGATCTTATAAGTTATACATGCAGCAGATTTTAAAGAAGTTGTGTGTCAGACAAAGATTGAGCCTAGTGAAGAAATGTTTACTGGTTTCAACAAAAATATAAATTACCCTACAGAATATTCACCTTAAAACACTTTGGTTCAGTTCATTTAAATTTAAAGTACCAATATCCGATCAAACAAATTCCTAAGGGCCACCAAGAAGAATGATTTGACTCAAACAGAAGCTTTAATACCATATTTCCACAATCCATCCGCTCTTCCCTCAAAATCAGACAGAAAATGTCAAGATATATACACAAAATAGATGACTACATAATCCCTAATATTTCCCCTTCAATACACACATGCTTCACTAGTTGTATGCCACACACCAACTGTAAAAATACACACACGCAAAATCATAAATATATACAGTAAATTAAAAACAATAAATATACATAGTAAATTAGAGAGTTTCTATTTCAAAATCTTCTAATTGACTTATTCTCGTCTAGATTAATCATATGAGACAAAATAAAGGCATCTCAATGTCTATGCCACAAATAATTAATGAATTAGTAATTCGATATATGATTGTGGCAAATTACAATCTATTGAATCTTATTCAAACATAGAGTAGGTGGAATGATACATACCTGTTCAGAAAATTTGCTTCACTTTATGTCACGACCCGAAATCCCCACCCTCGGGAGTCGTGATGGCGCCTACTCGTGGAAGCTAGGCAAGCCAAGAACAGTCGCAAACATCATCCTAACTCATTTTACCCATGATTAAACAATTTAAATTATAGATGCATAAGCAATTTAAAATACTACGATTAATAAAAGATAGCGGAAGTCTGAACTGAAAATATAGCAACAGCGTCTAAACATCAATACAAGTCTCTACCCAGCACCTGGTGTCACAACATTTCACGGACCATCTAAGAATGCTAAATACAAGGTCTGAAATAAAATAATAAAACTCTATCTCGGTACAAGGGAAACAGGGCATAAAGGGGATAAAAGAGATGCCGGGCCTGCGGACGCCTGCAGGACTACCTCGGGATCTCGTGGACTGAAGGACTGCTCCCTGGCTACTGCTGCGCACCGTAAGCTACTCGGACACCCGGATCTGTGCAAAAGAGCATAGAGTGTAGCATCAGCACAACCGACCCCATGTGCTGGTAAGTGCCTGGCCTAACCCCGGCGAGGTAGTGACGAGGCTAGGACCACACTCCAGATAAACCTGTGCAGGTATATATATACAATACAACGAAGAGGCAAACAGAAATAAACAACTAAAACTGGGGGAGGGAACATGCTTCAGGGGTAACAGATATAAATAGAATATCAGGAGTAATAGAGAAGAAATCTACAGTCTAGCTTCTAACACAGAAATAAGAAATAAAGACAATTTTCATGTTCAGCTCATCTTGTTGCAGGCGTGCAACCCGATCCCATTTCATCAACTCGTGGTAGGCGTACCACCCGCTCCCATTTCATAAACCTTGTGGTAGGCGTACCACCCGCTCCCATTTCATAATATCTTGTGGTAGGCGTACCACCCGCTCCCATTTCATCAACCTTGTGGTAGGCGTACCACCCGCTCCCATTCATCAATCACTTGTGGTAGGCGTACCACCCACTCCCATTTCAATCCAACACGATATAACAAAATAATCCCGGCTAGGGGACAACAATGTAATAACTTCCCGGCAAGGGAACAACAACATAATAACTTCCCCGCAAGGGAACAAAATATCAAATCAAATGCCCCGGCAAGGGAGAGTCAGCTATAACCAATTTTATTCAACTTCTACTTGACACAATTTATACCAATACTCAGTTATAACTAATGTCCACGTAAATAAACTAAATCCTTGCTCAGTATCGAGAATCATCAATCAAGCTTGCATAGAATCCATTAAGAATACAAGAATTATCAATTTAAGACCCACGGTCATGCTCGACACCAACGTATAGATACTCATCACCATGCCTATACGTCGTACTCGACACCAAAACAATAAGCAAATAAGACCCAACTCCTAATCCCTCAAGCTAGGGTTAAACCAAACACTTACCTCGTTGCTTTGAATTCAACTCAAGCCTCAATTATAGCTTTACCCCTCGATTCTACCACCAATCCGCTCGAATTTAGTCACAAGTTACTTAATTACATCAATAAACGCTAAATGAATTAATTTGAATGCATAAAAATGAATTTCCCAAAGTTTTTCTTTCCAAAATTGCCCCCAGGCCCACGTGGTCAAAACCCGAGGTTCAAACCAAAACCCGGTTACCCATTCCCCCACGAAACCAAATATATGATTTGTTTTGAAATCGGACCTCAAATTGAGGTCCAAATCCCCAATTTTAGAAAAACCTAGGTTCTACCCAAAACCCCCAATTTCACCCATGAAAATCATTGATTTTAAGTTGAAAACATGTTAAATGATGTTAATGATTGAAAGAAATGAGTAAAAATTGACTTACAAATGATTTGGAAGAAGTCTTGTTCTTGGAAAATCGCCTAAGGAGTTGTGTTTTGAAAGTGGGGTGAAAAATGGTTCAAAATTCGACTAAGTATAAAATATGCAGGTTGTAGGTATGGGATTTGCGAACTGGGGTTTGCAATTGCGAACCCCGACCTGCTGATGTGGTAATTGCGAAAAATAGTTCGCATTTGCGAACCCTTTCAAAAACCCCGGGCTTCGCATTTGCGACCAGTTATGTCGCATTTGCGACTAGCCCCTACTCGCATTTGCGAACCAATAGGTCGCATTTGCGATGCAATTGCTCGCATTTGCGAGAGCTTCTTCCCAAATGCGAAGATTGCAGAGCTGAACATACCCGATTTTCACAAGGTTAAAAATTGCACTCACGGCCTATCCAAAATTCATCCGAGCCCTCGGGGCTCCAAACCAAATATGCACACAACGTCAAAAATATCCTACGGACTTATTCACGCAATCAAATCGCCAAAATAATATCATAAACATCGAATTAAGCCTCAAAATCCTTGATTCCTTCCAAATTTTCATAAAACATCAAATTTCCATTTTAAGTCCGAAACACGTCAAACGACGTCCGTTTTCAACCAAACTTTATAGAAAGTGCTTAAATCATATATAAGACTTGTACCGGGCGCCGGAACCAATATACGGGCCCGATACCATAGTCTTCTAATCAAATTTCATTTCTAATTTCCTTAATTATTTCCAGAAAACAATTTCACACAAAAATTCATTTCTCGGGCTTGGGACCTCGGAATTCGATTCCGGGCATACGCCCAAGTCCCATATTTTCCTACGGACCCTTCAGGACCGTCAAATCACGGGTCCGGGTCCGTTTACCCAAAATGTTGACTGAAGTCAAATTTATTCATTTTAATATCAAAAATTAACATTTTTCTCACAGAATTCATATTAAGCTTTCCGGCTACGCGCTCGGACTGCGCATGCAAATCGAGGCAACCCTAAATGAGGTTTTCAAGGCCTCGAAAATACAAAATGGGTAAGTGTCACGACCCCAGTTCACCCTTCATGAACATGTCGTGATGGCACCTAGTTCCTACAACTAGGTAAGCCTAACAATGCGGAAATAACAACCTAACTTGCGAAATGGTTAAATAAAGCTAGACATATTAAAATGATAACTGCATATTACGCTGCTCGGCCTAAACAACTCAAAAGAAATGCGGAAATCTACAACTCAATCCCAAAACCCGGAAACTCACGGGAACCACAGGCTAACAGAACATAGTACGCTGTTCTAACTCCAGAATATCTAAACAACTGAGATAAAAGGAATAAACTAAGTACTAAAGCTCGAACAGAATAGAGACTCCTGGTTTGCGGACGCGGCAGATATACCTCGAAGTCTCCGTGTATCTCCTCGCCTCAAGGATAGTGCGCCTGAGTGGAGGTACCTAGATTTGCACATGAAAAACATGCGCAGGAAGGGCATGAGTATACCACAGCGGTACTCAGTAAGTGCCAAGCCTAACCTCGGTTGGGTAGTGACGAGGAAGGTCAGGGCCCTACTGAGATAAAATAATAATAAATTAACAGTATGAAAAACTGACAATAATAATGAGTACAACAGTGAGATAAGACAGGTTAAACAAGGAAATATCAAATACACAAAGAACGGAACAACCACAGAGTAAGTACAGCTAAATACCAATGGTAACAATGAGGATCTCCCAGGATACCGTCCTGTAGTCCTTTTCTCAACTGTCCAGTGGATCTCCCGGGATACCGTCCCGTAGTCCATCATATGTGTA